GTGCTTTGTGGTACGTGCTTGGTGCTTCCTTGAAGCATTGTGGATTCTGTGCTTCGTGCTTCGTGCTTCGTCCTTGCCACTTCGTGGATTCGGTGTTTGGTGCATCGTGGGCTCGTGGTGGATTCAGTGCTGTGAGTTGCTGCTTTCGTGAATTGGTGCTGCGGGGATCGGTGGTTCGCGCGTGGTTCGTGAGTTCATGCGAAGTGCTCCGACATGAGCTTCAATGTGGATTCCTGCTAGAGTGAGTGTTTCTACTTCAGCTCGAATCCACACCTCACTCTGGGCAAGTGGGTCAGGCTATTTTGAGAGAGAGAGAGAGAGAGGCAGCAGAGGCACCATCATCATCCCTCCTCCCTCGGCCTCTATTCCTGCCTCGACCCTCTCTCCTCCCTCCCTCACCCTGCTCCACCGGCCCTCGCTCCTTCCTCCCTTTCTCCTTCCTGTTTCCCTCACTCGCTTTCTCCCTCCTTCCTCCGGTGGCGTTACCTTCCTCGGCCCTCCTTCCTCCCTTTCTCCTTCCTGCTTCCCTCACTCGCTTTCTCCGTCCTTCCTCCGGTGGTGTTACCTTCCTCGGCCCTCCGTCCTCCCTCTCTTCTTGCTCCCTTATCTGGGGACGATATAGGGAGTGGATTCCGTTTTTCTTATCTTTCTCAATTTGCGTTAAGGCTTAGCGCCAGATTGTTTTTTTCCAATGTGAATAAGGGCGAGTGTGTGCTCTCTCGCGTGTGGTCGCACACAGACGCACACAGGGAGGCGTGTGTGTGTGGGGAGAGAGGGAGAGAGAGAGAGAGAGAGAGAGAGAGAGAGAGAGAGAGAGAGAGAGAGAGAGAGAGAGCTGACTCAGTGTGGTGGGACTGGGGAGGAAGAGTGAAATATGGAAAGAAATATCGATAGCCTGAAATACCTGGCGCAGGGCAGTTAATCATAAGGCCGTTCAAAAGAGAAAAGACCGAGGGAGAATGTTGAGGAGGAAGATCTTGAGGAGGCAGAAGACGTACGTTTTGTGGTGGAGGAGACGTACAAAGTGTGAGGAAGGAAGAGTGAGAGGAGGAAGTGTGTTAAGTGAAATGCGTTTTTTCTCTCCTGCTTTCCCTCTCTCCTTCTTGCGCGTGTGCAACCATGTTAAGATCTTAAAAGAAATGGAGCGTTTACGTCCACCGGATAAAGAAAAAGCAGCACTTCTTAGGTCAGGCGTTACGAAGGAAGGACGGCCGGTCGAGGTAGGGAGGGGGAGGTAGGGAGTAGGACGGAGGGAGGAATGGAAGAAGGTCAGGTGGTGATCGCGCTGAGGAAGGAAGGGGAGGAAGGAGGTCAGACAGAGATCGGGCGAATGAAGGGGGCGAACGAAGGGGAATGGGGCAGCCAGGTGGACGGAGGCCAGTGGGAGTTTGAAGAGAAAGTGTGGAGGAGGCCAGTACGCAGAGAGTAGGGCGGAAGCAGGAGGTCAGGTGGAGATCGGGCCAAGGAAGGAAGGGGAGGAAGGAGATTGGGGGAAGGAGGAAGTCAGTGCGAATCGGGTGGAGGGAGGAGGAGGACGGAGGAGATAGAGGGAAGGAGGTCAGGCGGAGATTGGGCGAAGGAAGGGGAGTGAGGTGGCCAGGCGAAGGGAGGGCAGAGGGAGGTTTTAAGAGAAGGTCCAGAGGAGGCCAGGAGAAAAGGGAGGCGGCAGGGAGAAGTAGGGCGGAGGGAGAACAGAAAGCAGAAGGTAGTTTAGAGGTTGAGTGACGTATGAAGGAAGGGAAGAAGTAAGGGGGAGACGAGCATGGGAAAAAGCGTGAAGAGGAAGAGGAGGAGGTGGAAGGAGGCCGGGAGGAAGGGGAAAGACGGCAGGGTGAAGTCAAGCGGGGGGAGGGCAGATGGAAGGAGGAGGGAGGGCAGAGATTGGGTGGGGTACGGAGCAAGGGAAGAGTTCAGGCGAAGGTGGAGAGAGAGAGAGAGAGAGAGAGAGAG